CAGCCGTTTCGACAAGACGGAAGGTGGCGCGATAAAGGTGTACAATGGTGATGTCATGAAATCGGATACTGCTGTATCTCAAACGATCATGGAGGAACTGCAAGCTGCTGTCAGTCCTCTTGAAGATGTTCCAGAATGGGAGAAGGACTGGCATCCCAGATCAGATGAGAAAGTTCTGAATTTGGTCCACCCAAGCTTGTTCCCCGTTGTTTATGGACGGACGAGGGCTCTTGGGAAGGGTAAAGGGTTCGCGACATTGGAGAATTGTATTGCGAGGTGTGGCGAAGGCAACGTGTTAGAAAAGCAGAAGGCTCCAGATAAGAGGTACAGCGCAGATTTTCAATGGTTGCCTTGCGAAGTGGACATTTCGGAAGGTAATGGGCAGGCAAGGTGAGACCTCCTTTATTCTATTCATACATAACGGATCTCTGATGATTATAGAATTACAAGTTACATCAACAATCTCCATCCAAAGAAACATAAAGACCTTTACCACATCATTGACAAGATCATCACTGCTTCGATTCCCCTGTGGAACAAAACTCTCGCGCCACTGGCTCATCTCTGGTACCACAAAAACTGTGCCGAGGATATCCTCGACAGGTACATGTATCAACCCAACGGGGAGTTGTCAGACAAACGTGCTGTGATCTTATGTATCCCCTACATCGGCAGTTTAACATTTTACTTTTTTTGGCTTGTGCAAGTGGCTACAAGTGGGAAAACATAGAAAAGCGACAAGACAAAAAGCCCAGTCCAATTTCTCGAAAAGCTGAATTTCTCACTTCTACCAAAAAGTTAAAAAAGTGAAAAAAAGCTGAGAAAAAGTCAAAGACGTCGAAAGAGAAACCAAATGGAAATAATGTAAATTAGTATAACAAGCCGATTCAATTCACAATATACTACGCATTTTTTTCCGGCTATGTCGCAAATTACCTGGTGTGATTTTGGCTATAGAACAGAAGAATTAGTAATGTAAGTGAAAAGAAGAGACATATTAATGGTACCTCTTGATAATACTTTTCACTCAATCCTTCACATGGTCCCAAATTGACAGTGACAGCTGTGTGAAGAAAGAATGGGTATTAACAAACACCCGGAGCTGGGAGGCAGCCAGCCACAACAGCACAGCGCCTACTAGTGACAAATGTGAAAAGGGGTTGGAAAAGAATAGAGAGTGATGAGATTAACGTGCTTACCATATGCAATGGGAAGTTCCCAGCCCCCAAGTTAGCCCATGAGGAGATACCTCAAGGCAGGATGGAATCAAGATGGAGCATGGAGCAACGTTCACAGACGTTGACGTGGAAGTTGGGAAAGCTGGGTGTGACGGATCACTTGTTCAACTTGGTCGGAGTCTGAAACGAGTGATGGTGACATGTCAACACGTCTTGGCCCTCCTTCCTCTTCCTTTCCATCATAGGACCCCAGTCAATAGCAGAAACGGTCTGGTCCTGATCCGGACAAAAAATTTGGATTTTTGCAAATCGGCCGGGAGCCAGTCCGGACAGAAAGTGACCAAACGTTGAAACTAGCCAGAACCCCAGCCCGGACAGGATTGCTCAGGGCACATACACCCTCAGGCAGCAATCCGGACAGAAGGTCTCTTAGCTGAGTCGTGAAGCGCACGATATGGCGTGTGCCACTCTTCCCTGAGAATGGGTGTTCGATCCTTGCACTAAACATTTTGTGCACTGTCCTTACTTTTCACGTGTTTTTGTAGTTGTTAAACTTATGCTCAA